AACATGTCTTGTCTGATGATATTTGGGAAGAAGTACATGGACGAGGATCTTGGCGATAAGGGTTTTAAAGCTCTAATTCAAGATATACTGCACATAGCAGCATTGCCAAATTTTGCTGAATTCTTTCCCTTTCTTCGTGTTCTTGATCTCCAGGGATTTGCTCGTCGTATGAAGGAATTAGCTAAGCTTTTTGATGAGTTCCTGGAGAGAGTTATTGATGAACATGTTCAATCCACTGAGCAGAAGCAAGCAAAAGACATGGTTGATACATTGATGAGTATTATGCAATCTAATGAAGCTGAATTCGAGTTTGATCGCCGCCATATAAAAGCTATTTTGCTGGTAATGTTCACTCTAATTCCACATTTGTCTCGAAAATATTAGGCAAGTAGTACAAGTTCATTTCTCCTTGAGGACAATGGTATAAAGAAAAGGGGAACACTTAAAACACAAAATCTCCGAATGATACCCACAATGGTATTTAGAAAAGGGGAACACATAAAACACATATATTCCTTCTCTAGTTCGAGCTTATAAATATTTTGAAATATTACTATTAGTTATCTTATGAAGGGGAGCTTTGGCGTAACGGGTAAAGTTGCTGCCATGTGACCAGGAGGTCACGGGTTCAAGTCGTGGAAACATCCTCTTGCAGAAATGCAGGGTAAGACTGCGTACAATAGACCCTTGTGGTCCGGCCCTTCCCCGAACCCCGCGCATAGCGGGAACTTAGTGCTTGCACCGAGCTGCCCTACTATTAGTTATCTTATCATATATACCATGCTGCAAAAATAGTATCTTATGTTGGTATAACAATTTTTCACAAAGTCTTTGACGATTTCAATAAATGATTTTATTCACTCTATAATTTCACTTGCTATAGGTCAACAAGGTTACAATTTACAAATAGTTCTGTTTATGTAATGATACTGAACTTTGCTTCATGTCATACACCGTTTTACTACTACTACTACTATGATGTCTATTATAAAATCTTTACTTGACTGACCAACTACACTTTAGTGGCATTCTTCGAAACTATATAGAAATAGTGTTAGGACAATTGTTCTATATGTAATATGCTTTATTATTTTTGCTGGCCTTCTCTTGGACTGTAGAAAGCAAACTCAGCTGAAGTTTCCAGTTTTCAGTATGTTATGAGTTTAATAACTAAAGAATACTGATATGTGTAGGACTTGCTGATAGCTTCAATGGATACTTCATCAACAACAATTGAATGGATTCTAACGGAACTTTTAAGGCACCCTGAAGTGATGAAGAAACTCCAGAATGAGTTGGAACAAGTAGTTGGTAAAAACAGGATGGTGGAAGAATCAGATTTAGAAAGTCTGGAGTATTTGGATATGGTCATAAAAGAAAGTTGTAGGCTCCATCCCGTTGCTCCATTATTACTTCCTCATGAATCTATTGAAGATTGCACAGTTGAAGGTTTTCATTTACCTAAAGGATCCCGACTTTTGCTTAATGTTTGGGCAATAGGGAGAGATTCAGACACTTGGATTGAGCCTGAAAAGTTCAAACCTGAGAGGTTTCAAGGAAGCAATATTGATCTCCGAGGACGAAATTATGAACTTTTACCATTTGGCTCGGGCAGAAGAGGCTGCCCTGGTTTGCAGTTAGGGCTCACCATTGTTCGTTTGGTGGTCGCACAATTGGTTCACTGCTTTGATTGGGAGCTACCAAATGGCATGTTGCCAAAAGATATTGACATGACTGAAAAATTTGGATTAGTAACAGCTAGAGCTCAGCATCTAACGGCGATTCCTACTTATCGACTGCATATGAAGTAAAATGCAAATGTCAATATAAGTCAAGGAGATGCACTGCCTTTTATTTGAATAAGATGAGGGTTAGACCAAAAAAGGAGGGCATTTATTTTATTTCCTATAGTATGTTGAACGTAATTCGAACAAGTACCTTTCTTATATTTCTTGTAAGTTTGCCTTAAGAAACACCAGAACATAAATAACGTATCTAAGTTCAATTCATCGCGAATCTCATCAATTCTTGTTTAGGTACATTATCATTCAGAACATCCTCATAATAAAAGCAATTCACCACGGGGTCTATGCCATTTTCAAACTAATTCACCTACTTGAGAGCTAACTTCATCATTAAACATGAGTAGAACAAGAGAACGCCAAAAGTCCTCAAAAGCATAGAGTTTAATGCTTGTGTATAAGAGAATGTGTCTTCCTCTATATATATAATGCCTCATAAATACTGAGTTTTGCCGATTTATTATTTGTCAGTAGTTTATTGCTGGATTATTGATCTTTATGTTTTATATCAAGAAATAAATAGAAAAAGAAGGAAAAATACATAACATCCAATCAGATCAATAAACCAATAGCATTAGAACCATAAGCTTTACCTCCATTATTGTTGGTCGATATGCTACAACGAACGAAATGCAGAGACATTTCTGCCAAATGCTGAAATGAAGAGCGTTTCACATTTCATAGTGAAGAATTAAAATGTTGAACTTTGGATTGGGTGTTGACTGCTGAATTTGGCGTGAAGTATGCAGTTTTCTTCAAAATGCAGTAAAGTTACTCCAACCATTACTCCATTTTTTACTCCAACAAAAAGATATTCCATTTTATATTCTTCTCTCTCTTTAATATTATATTATTATTTTTTATTTAAATTTTATTTTCTTATTTCTATTAATTCAATGTATCTTTTTTCTTTTTTACATATTCATCACATATAATTTAATACTATAAAATTATTTTATACCATAAATTTATAAATAATATAATTTATAAGCAAATATTGTAAATTATATATATTAACAGATAATTCAAATAAAAGTTAAATCATTGAGATACAAGATAATTCAATACATATTACACTATGGTAAAATTCATATTAAATATTACATAAATATTCAACTTCCACCTCCAGTATACTCCCAAAATGATCTATTAATGCACTACGAAGTGCAAAATGAGCATCTTTGTCCTTAATTTTTTTTGTGTCGAGCTAAAAACTGGTCAAATCGATGATTTTCATATACTACCATTTCTACCGTTGGAGGTGGACATTCCCAATCATCTGGAATTGGTGCATTAAGATCACTTTCATCCTCTATTATCATGTTGTGCAGTATAATACATATCGTTATTATATCATGTAACACTTCTTTTCTCCAAAAACGTGATGGTCCTGAAACAACTGCTAAACGAGCTTGCAAAACTCCGAATGCACGTTCAACATCTTTTCGACATGATTCTTGTTTCATCGCGAAATATCTCTTCTGTGACGAACGTGGGTCACGAATAGTTTACACAAGGGTTGACCATTTTGGATATACACCTTCAGCTAAATAATAACCCATATCATATTCTTTTCCTTGAATAACAAAATGGGTGGGAGGAGCTATACCTGCAGCAACATCAGAAAACATATGTGATGACTCTACAACATTAATGTCAGTATTGGTGCCGGTCATACCAAAATATGCATGCTATATCCAAAGGTCATAATCCGCTACAACTTCAAGAATTATTGATGGGGATCCAATACGACCTGCATATTGTCCAGCCCATGCTGTTGGACAATTTTTCCATCTCCAATGCATGCAGTCTAGACTGCCTAATATTCCTGGAAAACCACGTTGTTCACCGATGTGCAGAAGCCTTGCGACATCATTAGCTGTTGGTGATCTCAAATACTGCTCGCCAAAAAGCTCTACGATAGCTCGGCAAAATCTCTTCATGCTTTCAATTGTAGTCGACTCTCCAATTTTCACATATTCGTCAGTGGCATGTGTTGGCACACCGTATGCTAACATTCTAAACACGGCTGTGATTTTTTGTAGAGTAGAAACGACCTCTCGGGTCTCAACAGTATTGGCGTGAAGCCTCAACATGACAATTAGCATGATTCACAGCTCATTGACTCAATCACATAATTACAACACAGATATCAGCAAGAAAGAGTCACTAAGCGGTGCCCTGGAATGATCCGGGCCGCATTTCTCACGGTGCGCGCCCACACGCCTGTTACTTGGCATTTGCGTCACCTCAATGGTAATCACAGAACACGTAGTTCGGGGTTTCGAACCCTCAGAACCAAGTTTGGAAGCGTTACATACCTCTAGCCAAGCCAAACTCTAGCCCGCGACGCCCTTGCCTCTCGATTCGGCCTCCAAATGCCCCGAATCTAACAAAAATCAGAACCATAACATCAATATATGCTAAGGGAACAAAGCCCACGCGAAAGTAACCAAATTACACGACAAATCCCGAAATCGGCCAAACCCGACCTCCGGGCCCACGTCTCGGATTCTGATAAAATTTAAAAAACTAGAATCCTTACACTTTCCCGAGTTCATACATACCAAATACACCAACATCCTACCACAAACGACCCCTCAAATCCCTAAATCAAAGTCTCCAATTCCAAGCCCTAATCTCCCAACGTTCTTCCCTAATTTCCCACTAATACCATGATTAAACAGTGGAAAAATGGTCATAAACACAAGTAATAAAGCTTAAGTAGCTTACCCAACTGAAAACCTTCGATTCCCTTGAGAAATCACTGCCCTAGCTCTCTTCCCGTCTTCAAAAATGGAGAAACTTAGCAAAACCACTCCGAATCCGAAATAACTTAAGAGACTAAGTGTCTCAAACCTCTCCAAAACCACTCCGAATCAGAACCAACCAACTCGATACCACATCATACAACTGAACAAGACATAAGAATAAGAAATGGGGGAAACAGAGCGGTAACTCATGAAACGACCGGCCGGGTCATTACATCCTCCCCCTCTTAAACAAACATTCGTCCTCGAACGGGTCAAGAAACATACCTGAAGCCTCAAATAGGTGAGGATATCTGCTCCGCATCTCCTGCTCGATCTCCCAGGTAGCCTCCTCCACAGACCGACCTCTCCACTGCACTTTCACTGAAGCTATATCATTTGATCTCAACTTTCGAACCTGACGCTCCAAAATAGCCACTGGCTCCACATCATAAGTCAAATCACCATCCAACTGAACCATGCTGAAGTCCAAAACATGAGACGGATCGCCAATATACTTCTAGAGCATAGAAACATGAAATACCGGATGCACACTCGATAAGCTGGGTGGTAAGGCAAGCTCATAAGCCACCTACCCAATCCTTCGAAGCACCTCGAAAGGCCTAATGAACCGAGGACTCAATTTACCCTTCTTCCCAAATCTCATAACACCCTTCATGGGTGAAACTTTCTGTAGAACCTTCTCCCAACCATGTAAGACACATCACGGACCTTCCTGTCAGCAAAGCTCTTTTGTCTCGTCTGCGCTGTACGAAGCCGCTCCTAAATCACCTTCACCTTGTCCAAAGCATCCTGCACCAAGTCTGTACCCAAAAGCCTAGCCTCACCCGGCTCAAACCAACTAACTGGAGATCTACACCGTCTCCTATATAAATCCTCATATGGAGCCATCTGAATACTCGACTGATAACTGTTGTTATAAGAAAACTCTGTGAGCGGTAGAAACTGATCCCATGACCCTCCAAAATCAATGACACAAGCGCGCAACATGTACTCCATTATCTGAATAGTGCGCTCGGACTGCACGTCCATCTGAGGGACCTGTAGCGCCCGAATCTGCACACAGGGGTGCAGGGAGTAAAGTGAGTACTCCAACTCAGTGAGTAATAAAAATAAATTAAGATTGAGTAATATAAAACCACGTAAGGCACAACATTAAGCTATAAGAAGTCTAACAAAATCAGTGAATATAAATAAGCAGTGGAAATCTCATAACACCTTTTAACAGTCAAACAATATCTATATATATAAAATGCAACAGGAGAAGGTAAACACATAATAAATGGCCCTCGGGCACAGTAACAACAAAATCAGCCCCTCGGGCAATATCACAAAACAATACCATCCCCTCGGGCTATATCTCATATCACAATGGGTACCCGCGCTCACTAGGGGTGTACAGACTCCGGGAGGGGTCCCTTACGGCCCAAGCGCAATATCAAGCCATCTCGTAGCATCATAAACAGGCTTTCGGCCTCATATCAATCTCAAGCCACCTCGTGGCGTACAATCTCAGGCCCTCGGCCTAATTATCATAATCAGTATGTCACTGCTGCGGCGTGCAGCTCGACCCAAAAGTATCCTCACAACACAGGCCCTCGGCCTTACTCAGTCAGAATCTCATAAGCCCCTCGGGCATCAGTAAAATATGAAGCTCAGCTCAGCATATCTTTAAAATATTATTTAATGTGTTTAAAATAGAATAGCATAGCTGAGTTTTGAAAATAGTGAAAATATAGCATAACTGAGCATCAATATGAAATCAACAGTGAGGAAAAATGTCATTTAAAATCCCCTAAGGGTTCAAACAATTGGCACGAAGCCCAAACATGGCATTTAGCCCAAAGAATAATAATATCAAACAACTAGCTACCAAATATACAGAAAAATAGTCATTCGGGATGGACTAAGTCACAATCCGCAACGGTGCACGACCCCACGCTCGTCGTTTAGCGTGTGCGTCACCTCAACACAGCCGAACGTTGTGTAATCCGGGGTTTCATACCCTCAAAACAACATTTAAAATCATTAATCACCTCGAGTTATCCCGAAAAGCTACTCTACAACACGCTTGCCTCTCGAATCAACTTCTGAGTGCTCCAAATCTACCAAGTTCAGATTTTTATCATCAAATTATACTAAACGAATGAATTCCAATTGAAAAATATCGATTTTAAGCACAAAATCCGAAATCAGTCAAAACCCGTCCCCCGGGCCCGCGTCCCGGAACTGGACAAACTGTATACCAAAATGTTCTTCATCATCTCACGAGTCCCTACATGTAAAGAACTCGAAAATCGGAGTTCGTTTGACCCCTCAAATCATCCCTAGAAGGTCTCAAAATCCCAAGCCCTAACTCCACCTTTTTCTACTGATTTTCATGAATTAAACACTGATATTTTGTTCCTTAATCACAAATAATCGAGTTTTAGGGTCCATAATC